TCGAACACAGCGTTGAAATACGGTGTTTTTTTTTTCTTTCTGGAAGACTTTGCTGGTTTTTTTTCCAGGATTTTTCTGTTGCGTGTGGTCACTTTAAGATGTGTTCTTGTTCATGTTTTTGTTTTGTTGCACCCGAGTCAAGAGCCGCATGGTTCACAGGGTTATACCTAATAAATGAAACTGAAACTAGCTCGCCCGGTATACAGGAAGGCTTGGGTTCGATCCCGACCATGACGCCTGTATATTTGGAGTTTGCATGTCTCTCCCCCTGTGGTCAAGGGGATTGTTCTCCAGGTCCTCTGGTATTTCCCTCCACATTTAGAAACACACAGTTTAAGAGTATTTGGCCACTGCTATAAAGTTCCACGTCACGACAAGCCACTTCGTTCAGCTATCTACCATTCATGGCCAAGTCGCTTCTGAAAAAAAGAGCTATATAGCTCAGTGGGCCCTTATCTGGTAAAATAAAATAAAAAAACTCTGTTTATTTTCATGTTTCCCTGTCTCGACCTCGCCTCTCTTCCTTCGCCCCCACCTCCCGGCCCCGGCATCCTTCCCTTGCATTTGTCTCTCCGCGGTGTTCAGGTTGCACACCGTGTGTCTCTCTGTGGTGTTCAGGTTGCACACTGTGTGTCTCTCTGTGGTGTTCAGGTTGCACACCGTTTGTCTCTCCACGGTTTTCAGGTTGCACACCGTTTGCCTCTCTGTGGTGTTCAGGTTGCACACCGTGTGTCTCTCCGCGGTGTTCAGGTTGCACACCGTGTGTCTCTCCGCGGTGTTCAGGTTGCACACCGTTTGCCTCTCTGTGGTGTTCAGGTTGCACACCGTGTGTCTCTCCGCGGTGTTCAGGTTGCACACCGTGTGTCTCTCCGTGGTGTTCAGGTTGCACACCGTGTGTCTCGCCGTGGTGTTCAGGTTGCACGCCGTGTCTCGCCGTGGTGTTCAGGTTGCACACTGTGTCTCGCCACAGTGTTCAGGTTGCACACCGTGTGTCTCTCCGCGGTGTTCAGGTTGCACACCGTGTGTCTCTCTGTGGTGTTCAGGTTGTACACCGTGTGTCTCTCCGTGGTGTTCAGGTTGCACACCGTGTGTCTCTTCGTGGTGTTCAGGTTGCACACCGTGTGCCTCGCCACGGTGTTCAGGTTGCACACCGTGTGTCTCGCCGCGGTGTTCAGGTTGCACACCGTGTGTCTCTCCGTGGTGTTCAGGTTGCACGTCGTGTGTCTCGCCGTGGTGTTCAGGTTGCACACCGTGTGTATCGCCGTGGTGTTCAGGTTGCACACCGTGTGTCTCTCTGTGGTGTTCAGGTTGCACACCGCTTGTATCTCCACGGTGTTCAGGTTGCACGCCGCAAGGCCGGCCTTGCTGACCCTTTGCCACCTGGCCCGACGCCGAGGGGAATGTCCGTCGCGTGACAGCCGCACCAAATGTTTAACATTGTCAGAACTGTAATTGAGTTAGCCGACTTCAGTACGGAACCTTTTCAATCCGTCAACAGGTGAGCGGGCTGAGGCTATCAACTCCGCGAGTGAGAACGCGGCTGTCTAGATTCACACCCAAGGGAATTCTGCGGCACAAGTGTGGCGCTCTGACCACCCAGCCACCGAGTCATATCCCTTAAACTACAATCCTCGATACAGCTGCATCGTAGGGGCGACTTTGTCCTTTCACCTCATCAACTTAACCCAATGGACAAATAAAGCTACAGTGCATTGAATAATAAATTCCACCCTAACTCTCAGGTCATAATAAAGCAAAAAAATGACCGGTGAGAGCCGAGAATTTTAGATATTTCTTAACTCCGCGCGAGGTGAACACCGTTGTATTCTGGTCGAGGTCAAATGCCGTAGGTCGTAGGTATCACAAAAAAAATCGATTCCTGCAAATCGTCAATAACACTGTGGCTTTAAAAGGGGAATGAATACGTAATAGGCAACGTTTAAAGCATTGGCCCCTTCTTCACGACCGATTTTTCAGGGTACATAAATGGGTCGAACATAGCTCCCCCGCCAATACCACAGCTTCTTGGTTTCCTTCCGGTCCTGAATGAGCCCTTGTTCGAGAAGCTATTGGGGAGAATTATTCAAGTGAGGTGGCCGAGTTTGGCCACGAGAAGCATGGCTCTCGTAGGGTACGGCGGGGTCCTCGTGTAGCGCGGTCGTGGATTCGTTCCTGAGAAGCGCCGCGATAAGCGAGGAATTACTGCACGCATGCGCAGGGCATTACAGGCAATACATACAGAAACCGAAGCAAATTTGAATCACATTTTGCACGAGAACAATCGGACAAAGAACTGAGATGAGGGTACTTTGCCACGTACTGTATCGTTCTGCGTACTGCACCGTACTGCCCAGCTCAAGAAAGTAGTTCTTTAAAGTAGTTCTTGAGCTACTTGCGCGCTCCGAAACCGCGTCGCAACGGCACGCGGGCTGTGCGCAAAGTGGGCGCGTTACAGCGAAAACGCGTTGAGCGAGGCCTTGCCTGTGCAGGCTGCGTTCGAACGCGCGCGGTGGCGATGCCGTAGAGCAGGTGTGATGTGGGGAGGTCGCGGTCATGAACCCCCGGGGGCCACCGGGGCCGCCGTTGTCGCCGAGTGGGAACGCGGCGGCCTCGGGCCCACTTCATTTGCGGGGGCAAAGTGGGCCATCGGGTGACCGTGAGAACGGAGCATTCGTAGAGGGACAGCCGGGGTTGCTCGGGGAAGATGATTTACCTCCGACGGGGCGAGACACTTCGGGACAGATAGACACGATCGGTCAGTTCATCGCAGGCACGCTCGAGGTATTTATTGTGCTCTCCAGACTATTTACAACTTACGCATTTGTAAACCCGTGTGTGTGTGTGTGTAGTGTGCGATTGGAGCACCGTAAGAGTGAGTACATTTATAATGAATGCTTCAAAAGTATACGAAACACAAATAGGAATATAATAAACACGACGTAAAACGTTGACGCGACCGGATATGGAAAGTTACCCGACATGCAGCAGCAAGACGTTGACGGGACCCAAACAAAATGTAATAAAAAATAAATAAATAGCAATCAAAGAGAAATAAATAATTAAATGCGCCTGAATAGAAAATAGCCGAGCTAAAGACGATATGTTCTCAGAACGTGACTTTGATTTATTGACGTGGCTGTTCCCTAGATGTGTTCGTGACACGGAGGGTTACGCAGGAATGATTTGTCCATTCGCCTCGCAATACAATAAAAGAGTTGAGTACGTCAGATTTTAACAGGAGGTGGCTGTGGTAGTGGTGAGGAACGGTGACAAAGCGGTTAGCGCTACGCTACGAACCGTGGCAATCCCAAGTTCGAATCCCACTCTCGGCCAACATCAGTCACAATTATCTGAACCGGTCCTGGGCCTCACCTAGGTCGACTCAACCTCAAATGAGTACCTGGTGCGATGTGTAAAACATCGCCACTGAGGAAACAAAGGCAGTCGGGCGTGGTGCTGGCCACCCACCCCCTCGTGTATCGTTCCGGCCTTCATAGGTGCTCGCTAACAGCACTTGCCCCAACAGTCTGTTGAGGCTACATGGGGGATCTTTGTCTTTGGTGGAGACCACGGAGGAGTCAGAGGCAGTCCCAGACGCGAGAGAGAAACGTTTGGTGGAATTCTGTTGTCATGTTTGGATCGAATTCAACACGCTCTGGATTTATTGACGATCCAACACCCAGTCCGCTCGCTCAATATATTAATAGTTAATACAGCAGCTGCACGTGCGGTGAACCTGGCGAGTGAGCGTTCAATTCCCAGCCGTGGCTAACACGAGTTCAGAGTGGTGTCTAAACCTGTGCTCTCAGCTTCACGAACCCCACAACTGACCAGCGTGGAGAAGTATGGTCAAAACACCCCCCCACCCCCTCCCACCCATAACTGACAGATTAGGAACGTCTTTATCCAGCAGTGGATTGACAAAGGGGATACATAGATTAATTAAATTACTGTGACTTATTGTTATTGACACGAACAGCCCTATTGAGCAGGGATCCCCAACCCCCGGGCCTCGGACCGGTGCCGGTCCGAGGCCTGTTAGGAACCGGGCCGCACTGCAGGAGGTGAGCGGTGAGTCCGCACGTGGCCCTCCCCATTATTTTATTATTTACCACTTCCGTCCGCGCCTCTTTCCCGCACTGCGCACTTGTCTCAGTCACAGTGTTGGTATAAAGCCCACAAGCTCTAACCCCTAGTAGCCACAATGAGTAAAAAACAAATGTCGCTGGAGAGCTTCTTTGAAATGGGGGAAAGACCCAATGATGAACCCCCCCCTCCCCCGGGCCGTGAAATTTTTTTTCCACGAAACCGGTCCCTGGTGCCAAAAAGGTTGGGGACCGCTGGTCTATTGAGGGTATCCCCCCCCATCACCCCCCCACACAGCCATTTGGGCGGTAGGGGTCACCTTGGCGGCACGGGGATTGGTGAAGGCAGCGAGCGGGCGGCTTAATCTCAGCTGGAGCAGTCCGGGGCTGAGCTCCGTTCGTGGGGCAGGGGGCGGTGCCTGGAAAATATTCCACGAGAAAAGCCGAGCCCTACCTACTGGGGGAGCACAGATGCGGCAAAAAACACAGACGTAGAGTACAACGACAGCAACGGATTGTACCGCCAAATGCCCTCTGCGGCCCACAACGCGTGGCCAGCACAGCAGCCTAAAGAGCCCATTTTTAATTTACACAACTATAGCAAAGAAGAAGACTGGAGCCGTAGTGAGAACACGTACGGGAATATATATAATGTATTATATATATATGATATATAATGTATACACTATATATGATATGTATAATATATTATAATATATTATATATATAATCCACCCATCCATGACTACACAGCCACCCACACACGTTTAATGGAAACTTGAACCTTTGTCGTAAACCACGACTTTGGGGGGGTGGAGCTCAAAGCTTCCGCTGCTTCTGCTACCGGAGCTCTTCAAAGCGAGACGCTCCCCCCCATCCCTCCCCACCCCCGCCCCCCTCCTGCCCCCCCCCCCCTCCCATTGGCATCTCCCCCACGGGGGCCCAGGCAACGTCAAGGCCGTGACCCGCAGTATAAAAAAAAGCAAAACGCAGGGCCCAGAAGCCAGGGGTGGATGCCGACGGTGGAGAGAGGGCGGGAATGGAAAGTTTGACGACGTCGGCGGGAGGACTGCGGGAGGATTGTGTCGTGATGTTTCTCGGGAGGTAGAGTTTGTTGTTGGTTGTTTGTTGGTCGCGGAGAGGCGACAGGCGGGCGAGAGATGAGGCTGGTGCTTGGAGGGAATTATACCCCACATTCTTTTTCCACTGGCACATCCGAGCCGAGCCATGGAGGATGGTGGGGGGGGCCTCATGGCACGGATGCTCGCATGGCGCACGGTGATTTTCCACCGGCTATTTGCCATGCCTAGCCAGTACCAAACCGTGCTACACCGGCCTTACGGGACACCTGAATTTCGCTTTGTGCCGAGCAGGGCCACACGGTGGGCAGGAAGAGGTGTGGGGGGTGGGGGGGCTTGTGAAGTCAGTGGCACAGTTCGGCTTGTGCAGTGGAAAAAAAACCCAACCGCTTTGTCTCCTGTGGCAATTGCACAGACAGCGGAAAGAGAGGCGTCGGAGGGCCGGGCGGAATCGCGAGACCAAAGTAGCTGCTGGCGTGACCTGCGGCAGCACGCAATTTCGCGGCCCATTCTAGGCAAGGAGCCCTCCTCGTGCGCATGTTCAAGGCAGCCGATGTCCCACAGCGGTGGGTGCCAGTGGGCGATTGGACTGGTTGGGTCATGCAAGGTTGGGGAAGCGAGTGGGGGAATGAGAGGTGGGGGGGGCGATGATGAGCTGCTCTACCGGTCCCAACCGGTTCCAACCGGTCCCAACCGGCCCCACCAACCCAACTGGCGCCAACCGGTCCCACCGGCCCTCACCGGGCCCCAACCGGCCCCATCCGGCCCCAACCGGTCCCAACCGGTCCCAACCGGCCCCATCCAGCCCCAACCGGCCCCAACCGGCCCCATCCGGCCCCAATCGGCCCCACCGGCCCTCACCGGCCCTCACCAGGCCCCAACCTGCCCCATCCGGCCCTAACCGGCCCCAACCGGTCCCAACCGGTCCCAACCAGCCCTCACCGGCCCTAACCAGCTCCAACCGGCCCTGAACGAGAAGCCGCCACTGGTCCCGAGTACCTCAGCAGCCTCCCCCCCCCCGCAGAATTGTGTGTACCCAACGCAGCCGCCGTGAAGTTCTTTCCTCCCACCGCAATGTCCCCTCCTCGTCCTCCTGCCCCCCGTCCTGCCCCCCACCCCCGTCCTCCTGTGTTCTCCGATCTCCCGCTGTGCCGCTGGCTCCGGCCCCACCCTGTGTTGACGCCCCCGCTCCGCTCAGTTACAGACGGGTGACTGGAGTCAGCGTTGCTGCTCGATCCATGCCTACGCACGCACACACGCGCAAAGACAAAGATCCCCCATGTAGCCTTTAACAGACTGTTGGGGCAAGTGCTGTTAGCGAGCAGCTACGAAGGCCGGCACTGCGCACGAGGGGGTGGGTGATGAGCACTGGGTCCGGCCGCCTTTGTCTCCCCAGTTGCGATGTTTACACATCACACCAGGTACATATTTGAAGCTGAGTTGACCTAGGGGAGGCCCAAGACCGATTGACCTCTTCCCCCCAAACATGGATCATTGCACTGGCTGTCAAAACCCACGTTTAAAGCGCAGGCTTCCCTCGTGTTAAACTGGTTCAGTTTGTGCGACTGCGCTGTACATGCAGTTCCCCAATTTATACCCAAAAATGCGCTCCACTATGTGGTTTCTATTGACTCTGCATGCGGCACACACACACAGTACACACAACGTTGTGTGTGCACTGTGTGTGTGCTGCGTGTGTACTGTGTGTGTACTGCGTGTGTGTACCGTGTGTGTACTGTGTGTGTACTGTGTGCACTGTGTGTGTACTGTGTGTGCACTGTGTGTGCACTGTGTGTGTGTACTGCGTGTGTACTGCGTTTGTGTACTGCGTGCACTGTGTACCATGTGTGTACTGTGTGTGCAGTGTGTGTGCAGTGTGTGTGTACTGTGTGTGCACTGTGTGTGCACTGTGTGTGTACTGTGTGTACTGTGTGTGTGCACTGTGTGTGTACTGTGTGTGTACTGTGTGTGTGCGCTGTGTGTGCACTGTGTGTGCGCTGTGTGTGTACTGTGTGTGCACCGTGTGTGTGTACTGTGTGTGTGTACTGTGTGTGCACTGTGTGTGTGTACTGTGTGTGCACTGTGTGTGTGTACTGTGTGTGTACTGTGTGTGTACTGTGTGTGTACTGTGTGTGCAGTGTGTGTACCGTGTGTGTACCGTGTGTGTACCGTGTGTGTACTGTGTGTGTACTGTGTGTGTGTACTGTGTGTGCACCGTGTGTGTACTGTGTGTGTACTGTGTGTGCACTGTGTGTGTACTGTGTGTGTGTACTGTGTGTGCACTGTGTGTGTACTGTGTGTGTGCACTGTGTGTGTACTGTGTGTGTGTACTGTGTGTGTGCACTGTGTGTGTACTGTGTGTGTACTGTGTGTGTGCACTCTGTGCGCTGCTCGGCAGCCCTCTGTCTCCTCGTGCGGTTTCTCTTTGTGCGCCCCGTTCTTTTTTTGGAACGCATCCACTGCTACGACTACCGCACAGAGCGAGGAAACAAAACCTCTAAAGCAAGTGTCATCAACCTCTAAAGCAAGTGTCATCAACCTCTAAAGCAAGTGTCATCAACCGACATCATCATCGTCACGTGCGATGCTCACCTTGTGCACCTGCGTCTCTCAGCCCCGCGTTTGTTTCCTCCAGGTCTCCAGGGTCCAGGGATCTCTCCACGATGCGCAGGGGACTGGGTACACTCGTCTGGGCACACACGGCACCGTCAATGTCTATAACGCAGGGACTCCTCTACTTACGAACATTCGAACTTACGGACTTTCAGAGATACGAACAAACCGGTCCGTATGTCCGGTTTGCCTGTTCGGACCGAGAGTCGTAAGTGCAGCCGCCGTGCAATAGATGGCGGTGGTGGCGCCTGAGGCTGCAGAACGTGAAGAACCAGTGGCATCTACATCTACAGAAGAGTCTACTACTTTTAAAGCCATTCCCCGTGTTTAGTGTACATGCAGTACCTGTTTGGAATGGACGGGAGTAAAGTTGGACTCACGAACAGAACCTAACTCGTTCATACGTAAAGAAGTCTCTGCAATTGTAATTAATAATAATCTGTTTATAATAATTGGACTGTAATTAATAAACGTGCCTCAAATGTCCTGGCTGGCTGCTGGCTGGGCTCCTCTCCACCCCAACAGTGACCCCGTTTGTTGGCGGTCATGGAGCTGTTACCACGCGAACTATCTGGGTAACTGGCTGCACTGGGACTTCCCGTTGTAATAAATGAACATTGAATTTTGACTTAAAACTTTCGTGGCTGCAGGAATTCACATTCTTGGTTCTTTCAGTAAAGTCACGTAGATAGAAAATAAAAAAGTGGGATTTTTGCTTTCATTATTAAAAAAATTTTGATTAGTATTTTCAATGAATTTTTTTGTTATTTTATTTTCTATCTATGCAACTTTACCGAAACAACCAAGAATATGAAAACTGAGTTCAATTGAAATGGTGGAGTACGTTAAAAATACATAAAAATAAACGGCGACACCGAAGAGGTGGGAGTAACGAATGCAGAAGAGTGACCACGGTTAGTGGTGAGAGGGAGTCCACAGCTCCCTCCTTGGAGTTCCACTCTCCAGAGCTCCCCTCCCGTGGAGGCCCTTCGACCATCTGCGGCATCAGCGAGTAACTGCAGGCCTGCTCCTTTATCTCTCGCCGTGCGACATGCCGTTCCGGCGAGCTTCCGTTGCCCCGAGGCGTCCCCCGCGACGGCCCGGTGCAATCGGCGATGTGACGCAATGGCTTCGCCTTGGCTTCGCCTTGGCATCGCGGCAACGGCGGTTACGTCGTCGGCGAAGGGGAAAGTGGGCAACGTATCAACGAGCAAAGCCTTCCGTCAGACACACGGTTCGCGCTAATCCCTCCTGGGAAGGGGGTCCTCAAAGCTTAGGGGCCTCTTAACTGGGGATTATAACATTTTTGACTTCTTAGCAAGAGGCAAACATGGAGAACAAGTAATTAGATTTGACGTGAGGCATTAAGGTCCTCTGCAAATAAAACGCAACTGCAGGAGGTGTCTGCGTGCGCGTGAGTGCGCGCGTGCTCCGGATGACCGCTGCAAAGTATTATCTGTATTTTGATTTAGTGTGCTGATCTTAAAGGTGCATTGAAAAATTTGATACTCCGACTGATGCTCCTGTTGTTGTGGAGTGACTCATGCAGCCCAGCTATGGCTCTAGGGTTTGGTGTTACATGTTGTTTATGTCGTTTATTGTGAAAATTCGGTCACAGTCCCCATGATCACTGTTACATTGCATTTATGGCATTATTTTGGTGATTTCGAAAACGTTTTTCGGTTTGGCCATGTTTGTTTGTTGAAGTACGGAGTTAGACTGATGGCCTTAATCTAAGTTGTCTTGTGGTTGTTGTTGTTGTTGTTTGACTTGCAACCCACTGGGATTTTTGCACACAGCGTTGGTGCACGGTGCTTTTCTCAGAAATATTTTGCTGTTTTTTTCCTGGATTTTCTGTTTGCACAGTTCCATAGTCACTTTAAGATGTTTTCTTGTTCAAGTTTTTGTTTATTGTTTGTTGCGGTTGCACCCGATTCAAGAGCCGAATGGCTCACAGGGCTATACCAAATACATGAAAACCGAAAGATCATTACAGCCAGGGCATAACTTCTCATCGAGGGATGGCGTGGCGGTTAGTGCTGCGCTGCGCTACGAACTCGGCAAGAGACCCCGAGTTCAATTCCCGCTCACGGCCACCAACACCGGCGGCGATTACATTAACTTATCCTGGGCCTCCCCTAGGTCGGCTCAGCCTCAAATGAGTACCCAGTGCCGATGTGTAAACATCGCCACTGGGGCGATAAAGGCGGCTGGGAGTGGTGCTGGCCACCCACCCCCCCCCCCCCTTCGTGTGCCTTCATAGGTCCTACTCGCTAACCACACTTGCCCCAACAGTCTGTTGTTTTTAAATGGGGCACTGAATATTATCCGGCTCGCTGGTAGACTTTACGAGGCAGCAGGTGAGTTGTAGTGAAAATAATCGTCATCTTTGCATATATACAAGTACCTAAGCAACTCAAAGCTGCCTACACATCACGGTCTCGTCTCAAATAATTCGAAGGGCACCCCCGGTGGCAGCTCTCTCTGCCTGGCCGGGCACAAAAGCGACCCAGCACCCAGCCTGCAAGTGGACCTTAGTCTGCCAGGCAGGGGAGGGTCGATGATTGCTGCTGTCTGCGATCCCAATCGAGCAATTTGCGGAGTAACTTTTGGCAATTTGGCAAATTTGGAACCATGACGCTCGTTTGGAACGACCTCATGGGGATCTTTGACGACCACCTTGAAGCAGACAGCGCTGTAGGTTACGGTTAAATTCACCCGCGGTGATAACTAGGGCCGCCTGCCGGAGCCGAGCCCACGAACCTCTGCAACAAGTGATGGAACGCACTATCGGTAGGCCATGTCACCTGCCCCGGTATCCAGAGGCATAGTGAGACGCATACTGGGTGTGGTGCGACGGGTAGCGGATTGTTTTCTGGGCCATCGACAAGACTCGGGCAGACTGCAATGAAACTAAAAAGTACCGGGTCGTATGAAGTGTGGTGTGGTGGTGGTGTGATATGCAGTGTGGTGGTGGTGTGGTATGGCGTGTGGTGTGGTGTACGCGGCGTGTGGCGGCGCGGCGATTAGCTCGACATCCACCGAGCACACCCTCGCCTCGCCGTGCCACACCCTCGCCTCGCCGTGCCACACCCTCACCTCGCCGTGCCACACCCTCACCTCGCCGTGCCACACCCTCACCTCGCCGTGCCACACCCTCACCTCGTCGTCATGCTGCGGCCTCCTCTGCGGTTCCAGCGTCGCTCTGCGCCACTGCTCGAAGGTCAAGTAGGGCCCGGGCGCGGCGCGCGCCCCCGATCGGTCCCCGGCGCCGGCACCGCCGTCCGACGGCAGGGTGGCGGCGCGCCCGCCTCCCACGATGCCGTGCGGCCCCAGGCCCCGCCGCACCTCCTGATTGGCCAGCAGCGAGAGCCAGTCGAACTCCTCGGCGCTCATCTTGGACTGCGGCACGTCGTGGCTCAGCGAGCGCGTCTGGAGCATCGCGGCCACTCGCGGCGACCCCGAATCCGCGGCTTCCCGCGGGGGGACGTCCAGCGACGACGACGCCGCCAGCAGCTGACGGCGCAGGAACGGGCGCGCTCTGTCCGCGTCCGCCCGGCGGTGATGGCGCGTCGAGGATTTGTCATCGCTCGCGGCGGCGGCGGCGGCGGCGGCGGCGCTCACGGTAGCCGCAACGGTGCTTGCGCAGCACCGCAGGCAGCCGCAGCCCTGCCCGGCGAGGGGCCGGGGCGAGCTGTAGGCCGGGTCGCGCGGTGAGGCGCGGTCGCGCCGCGTCGCCCGCTCACCGGCTTCGTCGTCGTTGGCGCCGTCTCTCTCGCAGCCGCCGCCGCCGCCGCCGCGCGAACGCCCGCCGGCCGCTCCGCCGGCACCGTCGACGCCTCCGCCGACGAGGGCGTCGGCGGAGGCCGCGGCGACGCCGACGGCGGCTACCGTCGCCGCGGCGTCGGCGGGTCGCGAGCAGGGGCGGCGGGGAGCGCCGGCGACGCAGCGCGAGCCCGCCGCCGCCGACGACGACGCCGCCGACGACGAGGACGAGGACGCGACGCTCCCGCGCGACGACGAGTCCAGGCTGCCGCTGCCGATGCCGCTCTCCAGCGAGCTGAGCTGCTGCGCCCGCGACAGCCGCGGCGCGGCGACGTCCGGCGACCGCCCCCTGGCGAGATTTCCGGCGGCGCGGTCGCAGTCCGCGGCGGCGATCGCCCGGCGCGGCTCGCCGTACGACGACGACGATGACGACGACGTCGTGGCGGTGGTGGTGGAGATGCTGAGCGCGCTGCCCGCCGGCGGGAGGGACGCGTCGTCGCTGAGGCCGCTCGGGGTGGAGCGGCCCTCGCTCAGACTCGGCTGGGAGCTCAGCGGCGAGGACGAGGGCAGGCTGGAGGCTGCGGGGCGACGTCGTCGATCAGATCGGCGGTGAGACAATCATCAGGAAGTGACGTTGTGAATGCGTGTACGCGCGTGTGCAGTGTACGCGAGTGTACGTGATAACGATTTGGCTTCTCCTGATGATGATGATGATGCTGACTATGATCATGATGATCTATCTGCAGTTGATGATGATTATTGCTGCTGGCGATGATTCCGCCGCTGCTTCTGATGACAATCAATGCTGATGATGCCGATGCCGATCATGCTGCTGCTGATGATGATGCTGCTGCCGATGCTGATGATGTCATCCCACACCTGGGCTGCCGTCCCCACTGGCCAGGGACAGGAGGCTGAGCCTCATCTCCAGCTCCTGCGTCTCCTTGTTGACGCTGTCATTGCGACGCGACTCCCCACCTCCTCCTCCCAGGTCTACAGCGGCAAGGGCCATGACAGAGTCGGCAACAGCAACGAGCAGCAGCAGCAACACACGCAGAAACAGCAGCAGCAGTACACACAGCAGCAGCAGCAGTACACACACAGCAGCAGCAGCAACACACGCAGAAACAGCAGCAGCAGTACACACAGCAGCAGTACACACGCAGAAACAGCAGCAGCAGTACACACAGCAGCAGCAACACACGCAGAAACAGCAGCAGCAGTACACACAGCAGCAGCAGCAGTACACACAGCAGCAGCAACACACGCAGAAACAGCAGCAGCAGTACACACAGCAGCAGCAACACACGCAGAAACAGCAGCAGCAGTACACACAGCAGCAGCAGCAGTACACACAGCAGCAGCAGCAGTACACACAGCAGCAGCAGCAGTACACACAGCAGCAGCAGCAGTACACACAGCAGCAGTACACACAGCAGCAGCAGTACACACAGCAGCAGCAGCAGTACACACACAGCAGCAGCAGCAGTACACACAGCAGCAGCAGCAGTACACACAGCAGCAGCAGTACACACAGCAGCAGCAGCAGCGGCAACACCAATAAACAACAGCATCAGCGCCGAACATAGCCGTATCAGAAATACACAGCGGCAGCAGCGCCGTTGCCCGTGCCACTTGAGCGGCGCAGGCTGTTGGCGACTTGGCAAGCCAGCGCCACGCCGCTCGTCAGCTTTGCTCAATCCACTGCCGGACGAAGGAATCCGCCGAGCCGCTCACCATCCCTCGCAGCCCTGCGATGTCACAATCCTCCCCACCCACCGCGGTCCCCACACACACCCTACCGAAGCAGCCGCAAAACAAATGATTTCATCGCTACGTCTCTCGGCGGTGGCCTCTAGGGGGCGCGTCCCAGCCCCTTTGGCTGCCACTCCGCCGTTAGTCTCTACCACGGGGCTGCCGTCACAGCCTCGGGCTGCCCCCCCCCTCCCCGAGCCTCGGGTTGCCCCCCCCCCCCGAGCCTCGGGCTGCCCCCCCCCCGAGCCTCTCGCTGCCCCCCCCCCGAGCCTCGGGCTGCCCCCCCCGAGCCTCGCAGCGCACGCTGCCGCGTACCGGGCGTGCCAGTCGCTAGTTTCCTTAGCGGGGTCATCGCCATTGGCAGCAGGGAGCACCCAGGGGCTCAGCCGCCACTCGGCGGTGGACGTGGTGGTTGTGCCATGAGGTCAGGGGGAAGGCTTGGTGGTTGGTTGGTGGTGGTGGTGATGGATGGTGAGCAGTAGATGTGGATGTGGTGAGGAGGAATGGTTTGTGGTTGGTGGTGAATGAGGTCAGGCGGAAGGGTCGGTGGTTGGTGGTGGTGGGGGGGGGGGTAGGGCGTGCGACGTGTGGGGATGGGTGAAGAGGGGGGGGGGGTGGCACTTGTGCCCGTGTAAGGGCAGCCACTGGGGTGCAGTAACCGGAGAGCAGAGCTCAACTCGTTTGGCAAAAACACGGCAGTCGCCGTGCACTCGGCGGCAGGGCCCACTCGCTGCACCGGCGCCGCCAGTCTGAGCGCGAGGCGTACGCGCGCGGTGCGTGTGTGTGTGTGTGTGCGTGTGCGTGCGTGTGTGTGTGTGCGTGTGTGTGTGCGTGTGTGTGTGTGTGTGC